ATCTCTGCTACTGTTACGACTTCAATTCAAACAACTTACACACACATTTGGAACCCTTGAAAACCCGACGGAAACATGTGGGGTCTGAAGCAAAGGTCCCCTTCCCTGCCCCATTGCCCACAAATAATCATCATCAAACAGTTGCGTTTCCTTAAACACATATTGTCTCCTAAGTCTACACAAATGGCCAGGGTGGATCTCAAAAAGCAAGGCGGGCTTATTCTTAACATTTGCTCCCCAACTTGATTTTTCTATCCCCTCTGCAACTTGATCCGCCCCGCCACCAACATGACTGTCTTCTTAGAAAGGATTCTGAGCCTGTTCCAACTTGAGTGTACGCCATGCCTGTGCAGCCGGTCCCTAATCTAGCACAGACTATTAGCAGTGCTTCTTAATGTTTCTATCCCAGCACCGGCAAGGGCCGCAGCAAGTCCTTTCTCTCAGGGGCCTGCCTGTAGCCCGACGCACTTGCTGCAGCTGCCACGTTTCTTTCTAGTCTTTCGCTTTATTTTGGGAGTTGGGTTCGTTTTGAGCTGCTGTCGACCACCGGGTAAAATGGAAGGTTCCCGAAGTCCGCCTACGGTTTCTGAGACGCCGTGTACCTCTAGGGTGTACAGGACTTAGTGTGAGCCAGTGGCGCAGTCACACAGTGTAGGCAGCGGCTTGAGGAGTCACGGGGTTCTGGGCAGGTGAGAGATGGGTCTACTAGGGGTTGGGGGACACGTCCCACTTCGGGAGAGTCCCTCAAGGGCAGTGGTTCTCCACCTTCCTGATGCTGCCACCCTTTCATACAGTTCCTCATCTTCTGGGGACCCCCCAACTATACAATTATTTTTGGTGCTACTTCATCACTGTCATTTTGCTACGGCTATGACTCAGGTGACCCCTGTGAAAGGGTCATCCGACATCCCCCCCCAAAGGGGTTGTGACCCACAGGTTGAGAACTGCTGCTCTAGAGCTTGTCTCCTCTTTAGTCTTTTATTTTTTTCCTGAAAATTATTGCCACTAGGGATTAAGCCTGAAGGGCAATCAACCAACGGTATGATTTCCCTACAGAGTTAATGGCGTGGCTGCGCATTATTATCGGTGTGGAAATCAGTACTCTTAAAGCCAAATAGATCTGCTTCACTGCGGGGCAGTTAGGATGAGGATGACATTAATAATAATGTTTACCACTGAGAGAGACTTTACTATGGGTCGCACCTTGTTCTAAGTCCTTTCTTAGCCCCATTTCACCTTTGAAGAGAGTGAGATTCAGAGAGATGCTGTACCTTGCCTGGGTTCACATAGCTGGCAGGTGAAGGAACCTAGTTGTATATGTCTGTTTTTTTGTTTGTGTGTGTGCATGTATGTTTACACATGTGTGCATGAGCATGGGAGGCACTGCAGGCAAACAGTCCCTCCTGATCACTATAGAGTGATGCTATGGATTAGACCCAGACACCCAGAGAAAACTGGAACATCAATGCTTGGGGACTGCCCACCTGGATGTTTGCACACAGGCCAGAATGGTTTGTAAAGAGAAAATATCTGATATTTTGACTTTAAAAAAATATAAGTTGCTTGCAGGGTAGGAGGGAGAATAAGATTATAAACTATTTGTATCTCAGAGGGAATATGAACACATCACCTCTTCAAAACATACAAGGAAATCGACTCGTGACTTCTCCCAGGAACCCACACCTGCGCAGAGAGTGCCTTTGCTCCGGGCACGGTGTTCCAGGCATCAGTGGAAGAGGAAGCGGCGTCAAGGGAATGCTCAGGTTCTGGGGCTGACCTGGGTTGAGATCCCAGCTCTGCCATTTCCTAGCTGCATCTGCCCCCCAAGAACCTTCGCTTCTTCAGGTGTAAACTCCAGCAGGTTTGGTCAAGTAGAAGGTCGGTGAAAAAGAGGAAGACCCACAATGAGGTGGAGTTCACAGTGGCTGGAACAATGAGTGGGTTTAAACCTCACAACAAATGTGAGGATGGTGTACGATGGGGCAGTGTTTCGTTCCGTTCCACATCCGGCCACTGTGGGGCTCAGAACCCACAATAACAACCAGGGCATGGTTTGTCCTCGGGTTGCTGAGAGGATGAGAGGAATACATGGATGTCAAGTGCTTAGGACCATAGGCAGGACAGAGAGAGCGCGTGTGCAGCGAGAGCTACTGGGATGGTTTCTGTGTGCCAGGCCCCTGCCATGTCAGCATAGATTACTTCCCATTCTGTTGGCTCAGAAGAATGACCTTGTTCATCCTCAAGAAGAGCCCTTTCTCAAGAGAACATCGATCAATAGACAGGCTGTATCCTTTCTCACTGAACGGGATAATTAAGAGAAACATTTGTTTCTTCTGCTTTTGAGCTTTGTAGTGAAAGATGCACATGCCTTTGAGAGTCTCTATCCGGCACTAAAGCTGTTCAGGCCCCTTGCTATGGCTAGTGGGGATCTGCCAGAGGCTTATCTGTAGATGGATTTGGGGCTCCCACTGTCCTCCACACACTGGGTCTTCACAGTGTAAGCTCTGATACTGTGACTATGCTAACGATGTCATCATGTCAACAGCACTTCCTACCCCAGTCCCTTGAACTCTGACCCTTTAGAGGTGACCACTGTCTTGCTTCCTGTGGCGGTCCGCTGTTGAGTCAGCCCCAACGCATAGTGACCCACCCTGTGTAACAGAATGGAGCTTCCGAAAGGGCGTCCTAGGCTGCAGTCTTTATGGAAGCAGATCCTTCAGGGCTTTTCTCTGGCACAGCAGGTGGGTGAGCTTGAACTGCTAACCTTCACCCAGCAGCCAAGGGCCTAGCCGTTATACCACCAGGACACCTTATTCATTTCCCAGGGCTGCCCTCACACAGTACCATACAGTGGGGGACTTGAAACAACAGAAACGAATTGTCTCCGCTCCGGTTGTCAGGGGGGCCATGCTCTCTCCCCACAGACTTAGGCCAAGAGCCCCCCTCGCCTCTCTCGTAGCTTTGGGTAATTCCTGGCAATCCTTGGTGTTTCTTGGCTAGTAGAACATCACTCCAGTCTGCCTTTGTCTTCACATGGCCACCTTCCCCCAATGTATGTCTGTGTGTCCTTCCCTCTTTTGATATGGACACCAGTCTTATTGGATCAAGGGCCCACTCTATTAAAGTGTCAACGAATGGCATCTTTAAAGACCCTGTTCCTAAGGAAGGCCACGGTACAGGGGAATAGGGGTATAGGGAGTGGGTAGACAGGCTGTAGCTTTTAGAATAGCATTCTCAACCTGTGGGTCATGACCCCTTTGGGGGGGTGTCGAATGACTCTTTTACAGGGATCTCCTAAGACCATCGGAAAACACATATTTCTGATGGTCTTAGGAATCAAGAGACCACTCCTCTCTCTGTCTCCAGGCGGATCCGCCCACATGCAGATATGGCCACATACGAGTACCCAGCGTGATGACATCATCACGCCAACCCCATCATACACACCCCATACAACTACAGGTGTATGTTACAGGGTTTGCGCAATAATGTACTTATGCGGACCAGTCACACGCGTAGAAAGCAGCTACTGTGTAGAGAGCAGCTATTGTGTTGAAAGCAGCAGTATTGTAGGTAAAATGACACTTCATTAATTATAGTTACATATTGTTTTTGTGATTAATCACTATGCTTTAATTATGTTCAATGTGTAACAATGGGAATACATCCTGCAAATCAGATATTTTACATTACAATTCATAACAGTAATGAGATAGTTAAAGTTTATTGTGCCAACCTGGCCCATAAACACAGGTGGTGTTAATTGAAGGGCAGAGAGATAAATGGCTCTGTGAGCCTCGCCTTTCGCCTTTCGAGTTCTCAGGTCTCTGCTTTCTGATGGTCAGACCAGGGTGCAGCTGCCTTAGCTGGTTCCCCGCTTCAGCTAGCAAGGCTCACTTCCTGCTAGGCATCCCTGAGGAGAAGCCACACGGACCTACCCTGATGCAGCCCTGGGTGCTGGAGCAGCCGGGTGGAGACCCCTGCCAGTGCTGAGATGCTTACACACTCACTGATTCGGCTTTCCTCCTGTAGTTGGCATCATAGCATGTGTTTTGTGAGATGGAGGAGGACTTTGTGGATTGGTGTCAGACATATGGGTTAATGTTGGACTTGTGGGCCTGGGCAGCACTGGGTTGGGATGTTTTCTTGATGTGCACTTACCCTTTATATAAAACTCTCTCTTATACATATGAGTTTCTGTAGATTTATTTCTCTAATGTACCCAGACTAACACAAGTAGCAAAATTACAGAGATGAAGTAGCAATGAAAATAATTTTATGGTTGGGGGGGTCACCACAACAAGAGGAGCTGTACTAAAGGGTCGCGGCATTAGGAAGGTTGAGAACTACTGTTTTAGAGGATGGAATTCAATCTTTAAGAACCATTGTGGGTAGGGTACAAGGAGCCTGGGTAGCACAGTAGAGTACAAGTCGGGCTGCCAACCATGAGGCCAGCAGTTTGAAACCACCAGCTGCTCCTCAGGAGAAAGATGAGGCTTTCTAGCCCCCGTGCGCAGTTACAGAGTTGGAAACCCACAGGGGCAGTTCGCCCCTGTCCTCTAGGGCCGCTACGGGTCAGCATTGACTGGACGGCAGTGAGTTCGGCTTCTTTAGTTTGGAGCGGAGGGTTGAAAGATATGAACAGGAATCAGCTCACTTGCAGTGGGGTTGGTTTGGGGGGTGTATTTTGGCCTCCAGTCCTCTAAATGTGTTTTGGCATAGGTATGTGAAACGAGGCAATTGTATATGTATGATTATGGAGCCTGAGCCATTGAAAAGTGCTGGAACTATAAGAACGTATACAGTTGTTTCGGGTGGTGAGTACCCCTGACGCCTTTGGCAAAAGCTGTGCCTATCCTCACAGTCGCTGGTGTGATTGATTGGTTCGATAGTCCCCCCGGCTAAGTCAGGGACCACAGGCACTGAGAAGCTAGGTAGCTGGTCCAAGGTCCCCCAGCTCTTTCGTGCATAACCAGGCCTCTCCTCTCTTTGGCTCCTAGGCCCATGTCTGCAGACTCCGGCTGACCGTACCTCCCGAGAGTCCAGTCTGTGAGCAAAGGGAACAGAAGATTGAAAGGAAAGATCAGGTGAGGCGCTATCGTAGTTCTGATAAGTTCTAATCTCTGTATTCTCTTTCAACTCCACCCGCTTTCAGCTCCAGGTCACGGTTATTTACGGAGTCTGAAAGTGGGCTACTCTGTTAGTGAAGGGCCTGTGGACTTGCCCTGCACCCCTCCCCTCGTCCCAGAGTCAGACCGCTCTTCCCAGTGGGCTCCTGTCCCCGCGGCCCTCTCTTGGCGAACACTGAGGCTCTGTGTTGCTCTCAAGCATGTAGGGACATTGGCTTTAGTGACAGGTACTGTGGCCGGGAGCGTATTTTCCCTCAAACAACCCAGGCCGGTGGAGTCAAAGGGCCCATTGTGAGCTGCCTTTGGGGCCAGTGCTTTTCTTCTGGGAGCCCATCTCACGCTGACAAGAGGCTGCTGGGAAAGAAGTCCCGAAGCAGGCAGCTGTGGTGTGGGGGAAAGGGCACTGGGCTGGAGGGAGAGGAGCTCAGCAGACATAAGGGTGCCAGCTCCTGTGCTCAAAGGAATACACATGGCCTTGGCCTTGCCTTGGTGGAGGAAGACACCATTTCTCAGGTGAGACGGGCGCATGCGTAAGCAGTGGTGATGTGATAGTGAAGGGTTAGGGTGCAGCCATGGAAGAAGGGACCTGGAACCCCGAGAGGAACTGACTGTGCAGAAGCTGACAGTGAAGGGGAGCTGCATGGGACCGACGGGAATCCTGCCTGCCTCCAGGCCTGCGCTCCTGGGCCAGCTTTTCTCTCCTTCCCCAGCCTTGGCGCACCTGGCGCAGTCAAGGTTTGGTCACCGGGTACAAAAATGGAAACAAGCGAACAAAAAAATACTTGCATTTTATAGAGCTAGTGAGAGGGAGAATGAAAATAAACGAAATACTTAAGTACTTTTATTGGTGTTTCGGAAGGTGGGAAAGCAAGAGACGTGGGTCGTGGTGCTAAGGTAAGCCGTGCTTTCTTCTTAGACATATATTTGGTAGGTGTCTAAAATAAAATGGTGTGATGTTGTTATAACTCTGTAAGTGGCCATCTGAGCAGAGACTTCCTTGGAATGTCAGCCCCGATGAGATCACTAATATTGTGGTAAACTATAGTGAAAATGTGGTACAAACGAAGCTTCTCGTCGGCTGATCTCACTATAGACCTTTGTCTCTCCTCACTTCCTCCCTGAGACAAGGAGCTTCCTGTGCTCATGCAAATGATGTGCTGAATGACCAGGAGGAAAGTGAAGTTGTGGCGAGGGAAAGGGGACAGGTATAGAGTTGACCATTGGTGTAAAAAGTGAGGATGGGTGGGGACAGGGCATGAGGGCCACACTGGTCCTCAGCCTCTCACTCACACAGGCTCACGACCTTGACCTGGTCCTGAGGCTGGGAAGCCTGCTTCCCTCACTGCTCCACTGTCCCACGATCGCAGTGGCACGGTTCCGGTTCCTCGACTCTCACTGCGTGGCTCTTCTGCTGCCTCGTCAGACAGGGATCTCACAGGTGCTCCCCTGGGGACTCTGCTTTCTCGGTGTTCTCTCTGTTCCTGATTCCGAGGTGGCTCTCATACCCCCGGGCAAGGGTGAAACTGACCAATCCCTGAATTAGAGTTCCCTACCTACTCCTTATCTGCCTGGTCCCACCCAATTTTTCGGTGGGAGTTAAAGAGAAGTGGCTAGCAGAAGTAAGACGTGAGAATCTCTAGAAAGGATCTGAGGACACGGCGAAGGCTCGGTTGGAGCAAGGCAAGCGTCAGGTGAGTCTGAGGCACGTTGCTGGACAGGCCAGCAGGGCAGCATCAGATGGACGGAGCCACCAGAAGGACCCAGAAGGCAGCTGAAAGGGGCTCTTCCTGGCTCAACTCGGAACACCTTGAACATGGAAAGGAATAATGAGAGCAATGGCTTATGAAACACTGAATACAAAGTCATCCGAGGTGCATAGTGCGAGAGAAAGAGACACAAAACACCAGCTCATAAATACGGACTATCTCTATCCTACAGCTGCTTGGCAGGCTCACCAGTGGATGCTAACGCTAGTTGGTAAAAGGTAACGGTGGAAGAGGCTACCCAAGGAGTTTGCAAGCGTCACCTCGCAGATTGCTTACTGATGCCGAAGGAATGCGCCCTTTTCTGTGGCGCATTGTGGCCAGCACGTCTTCAACCCAGTGGTCCAATTTGCCACGGCCAGTATTGGGACGCCTTGGGGTCGTGTGTGGTGGCTGGAGTCACGCAGTTAAGATTTGCAAAATATTATCTGTCCAGGCCAAACTTGTTTACCAGAATGTCATAATAAAGAAACAACGAGAAAGATCCAAAATGCGCAACATTGGATCAACAGTTGTCCCAAACTCCTCAATACATTCACAGTCATTTTAAAAAGATCGATAGCTAGATAGAGAGAGAGAGTCTATTATCAGTGAAAGAGACTACAGAGACCTTACGCCGCATGCAGTGAGTGGGCCTTGATTAGCGCGTGGATTTAAGAAACCAAAATCTACCGAAGGTATGCTGGGGCATTTGTAGAAAGTTCGAATATGAACTACACTTGATCCGATGGAAACCTACTTGTGATAATGGTACTATGTGCTACTCTGGATTCTCTGTAGCTTTGACTATTCTCAAAAGACAAAGTCTGGGGTTAAAATGTCATCATGAAAAACAAGGGTGGAAAGGTGGAAGTGGGCATGCTCAGTAACTGGAACCTGCTGATGGCCAGATTGACTAGGGCCTGTTGGGGTGTGGGGTGGTGGTGGTGCGGGGGGTGTCCCCATTCTGCCCTCTCTGCTCCATGTCTGTCTGGTTGATGGCTTAGTCAGAGGAGTGGGCTCGGGTGCCCAGGGGCATGGGGACAACTTCGCGCACAGGAACTCAGGAGGAGTCCGGAGAAGGGGCTCAGGCTGGAGAAAGAGACGGGATGTCTCTGTGCACGTTTTAGAGGAAGTGAGTTAGCGATGGAGGCGGGGTTTGGTATCTGTGAAGGTATCTGAGAGGTAATGCCAAAGAAGAATCACCCCTCGCCGTGGAGTGGACTTCAACTCAGTGCAGCCCTCGTGGGCAGAGTCCAGCTGTGCTCCATAGCGTTTTCCATGGCTGATTTTCCAAAAGTCCACTTCTGGCTGGACTTGAACCTCTTGCCTTTTGGTGATTGGCCCCGTGTGCTGTTTGCATCACCCAGGGAGTCCTTTTAAAGTAATGGGCCGCTTATTTTTTCTTTTTCTTTCAATCAAAACCGTATACCGAGCCCTAATAGATCAACGGGACCATGGTGGTTCTTCTCTTCCTGAAGCATTGGTGGGGGCCCACAGACCTCCCTGCCTCCCTGTACCCCACAGCTCTCCCTCTGCAGGACCCCGAGAACTCTGGGACTCTGAGGAGCGGGGCTAGGAACCATGGGGGTAGACGGTGGACACTGGGTGGACCAGGCATTTAACTGCGTGACTGTCTTGGGATGTGTTGGTGATTCAGTGCCAACAACTTGGGTAGCGAGGCGGAGGGCGGGGCCCAGTTGTCTCCCGAGTCTGAAGTCCTTGGGTTGTGGCAGCGTGTGAAGGTACGGTTGTAACTGTGAGGCTGTTCGAGGTGATTTGCTTCCATGCCCTGGAAAGCCAGGCTTCTGGGCATGAGTCATTAGGAGCTAGAGGTCAGCTTTCTGCGAGGGACACAGTTCTTGAGGGGGCCAGCTCCTCTATGTTCCCTCCCTGGGGAGTTATAGGCTTCCTGGGGCCCTGTTCAGACTGCAGCATTCGGAGCAGGGCTGGACCTTACTCCTGGAAGGCACTTAGTGTATATTGAGGACTTGGGATGCCAGAGGGCTGCAACAGAAGTCTCCGGCCACTGATCCCAGACAAGAGGAGAGGATTGGCTCCTGATGGAGGGGTGGGGTAGGGGGCTGTTTCCCCCAGAGAAACTTAGGAACTACCT